ATAAAGATCCTTAGCAACCAATTCCTGGGTCGGGGTTGCCTCGTTCATGTCCTTAAAGATACCCATGCATGTATAGAAATCAGCAAAAAAAGGTATTCACAACAGCAAAAGATGGAAAGGGCCAAAAAATAGAAGGATCTTGAAACTAGTACAAGTTTAGGAAGGCATTTAGTGGCATGTTTGCGAAGAACAGGAAACTCTCAATGGGTGCTTGTATCTGAGGCAGTTAAAACCTTGCTGAATGAATGGACAGTAGGTCCTTCAGAGTCGGGAGGGCAAGGATCAGTGACGCCTTGTTTTCAAGAGGGCTAGTTATTTTAAAGAAGAAGAAGTGTCAAACAGTCGGTTAAACATGCTGAGTCAACTTATTTAACGTGTCATGTCAACATTCCATTAATGCAATAACGATTGTTAATGGTTGTTGACATCAAAGGATCATTTTTTAACAAACGATAATGTTAGTGATTGATTTATGACTTTTCAAACATCAGTGATGAAAAATAAACACTTACCTGAACATTAATGATCACCTGCGTAGTTTACCCTATTATTTATGACAATCATATTCAAAGACTTTGTGTTGTTAGTTTATAGGTGTTCACTTTAAAAACTATTTTTAAATATGTGACTGCATTATAATTTTAATAAAAAAATTATTCACGAAATCCAAAAAAACCAATTTGTTTTCGATGATTTTATTATTATTTTCTTAAAATTAATTTTCAATTAATTTATTTTACATGAAAGTTTCGTAGGTTTTTTATATGCTTATTTATCCGGTCAACTAAAAGTCAGGAAGAAAAAGAAAAAGAAAATCTCAGAAAACCAAGATAATATAAATTTATTAAGTGACCTCAATAATAGAAGAGTATTATTTGAGTTTAAGCAAATGTCTCTCTAGGGTGGGCATGTATTATAAGTAAGCTAAAAAAATAATTAAATGTATATTACTTTATAATTACTTCATATTATTCAAACAAATAAAAATTAAAACAATATAACAATGTATATACTAAATTTTATCATATCTATTAGGAGTGAACAATATTTTTATGTAAAAAAATATAATTATAAATTTATCATTCTTTTTTTCAATTCTTAAAAATATTTTTAATTAATTTATTTTAAATTATATAAAAGTATAAAAACAAATATATTATTATTATATTATTAATTATCATTTTAAAAAATTGATTTCTTAACTAAATTGATATACGCTAACTCATTTGATAATAGAGATGAATAAAGATTATTTGTTAGGTTGTCATTAAAGACAATTAAGGAGAAATGGTCGTTTATCAACCTTGATAATAATGATTCATTTAATACGTATCCAAATCATGGACAACGTTCATTATTAAGAGACAAAAATAAAATCAAACCTCTATATTTAACCGGGGATCGGTTTTTGTTTAATTTATAATAAATATCAAAGTATTATTGGTTATTCTTTAAAATTTTTAAAGAGAAAATATTTCTTTTCAAAAAATTAAATTAAAATTATATCTTCACTAAATACTTTTTAATATCAAAATTATATATTAAACTTGTTTTGTATTTATAAAAAAAAATGATGTAGAGTCTGAGACAATTAATAAGATCACATGGATGCTGAAAAAGATTTAAATTAGCAGGGCAATTATGGTGGAAGGAAAAATGCCATACATCCATGCAAGGTTTGTGGATGAAATTTTCTATAATTCTTTTGTTTAGAATGGAAGGGAAATATAATTTGTTTGAATGGAAAAAAAAAGGTTATTTTCATTAATCTCATTATTGATATGGATACTAATAATTTGTTGATCTAGCGAGATAATATATCAAATCTATAAAATAATATTAGAATGTAAATTACGCTGTAAATAAAATAAATTATGCTTTAATTAACCCCCCTCTTCTCTCCCTTTATATATTTTGCTCTTTCTTCTTCAATCCCCTCACCACTCTCTCTCCCCCTTACCTTCAACAACAAGCGTTTTTGTTCAGGGTTTCTTGAACTTTAAGTTAACCCATGTTTCAATACAATTCAACTGTTTTATCTTTTTGGTTGGTGTTGTTCTAACATGTTTCCATCCAAGTTTAAAATTTATACGTGGAAAGAAGGAAAAGAGTCGCAGAAATGGACCCAAGGTTGACTTGAAGCTGAACCCATCTCCACCGAGGGTTAATCTGAGAGTAGAATCACCAATCCGATCGGCAACCATGATGCCGACATCTCCTCCGAGCTCATGCATGTCGTCGGAGATGAACCAGGAAGTTGATACCAGTAACGTCAGATACTCGAGCAGCCCTGAGGCGATATCCATGGTCCTGGTGGGGGTGCCCAAGTTGCTTGATGTACGTTATGCTTTCGGAGGATGACCCTAAGTGTCCCAAATGCAAGAGCGCCGTTTTGCTTGATTTCCTCCATGATACCGCCCCCACAACCACCGCCACCACGACCAGGAAGGGCTGAGTATGAACCAGGAATCACCTCCCCTCCGTCATCTTTTACCTCCTCGGCCTTTTTTGTGGGGTGGGGAGTTTTCCTATTCATATAACATAGATGTGGGCGTTTATGGTTGGTGGGTGTCTTTAGTTTAGGTCTGGTATTTTAAGGTTTCTTCCTTCTTTAGCATATGACTATGTAAACTGGTTTAACTGCCGTAATTTTCTTTTTTCAAATCTTTTATATTGTTCGGCAAACTAATGCGTGTTTTTATATCATACAAGTTGCTGATGAGGCAGTGACGCAATGCTAAGCTTAACTGAGTGAAAACGAATGAAGGGTGAAAATTAACTTGAATCCCCTGAAAAGATGGGTAAAAATCCTAGATTTTTCTGTGCTTGAGAATGAGGGGGTATTATACTAGTGGTATTTTTGCTTGACTTTTGGCCCACAGGGTCATGATTGGCAGCAAAGAATCATCCACAAAAGTTGTGGATTTGCAGGAATCAGATAGCGACGAAGCCGTCTTTATTTTTACTGCACAAAATCCACTTATAGAACTCAAAATTTGTAACATCAAAACAAGTGAAATGTTAAGCTTGGAGCTCAAACTAACTACATTGTGCCCCTCGGGACCAGGGGTAGTTCACCAGGCTCCCCCTGGTACTCCCCCTGGTGCTACCGATTGCAAATCCAATTTGGGCGGGGGGGGGGGGGTTGTTAAATTGTCCGCAAAAGTTAACCAGAGTGACAATTTAAAAACACCACATCCTTCATAGATATCATCAAAAAAATTTAAACTGAGCAAAGGCAACAAAGAAATAAGAAAATAGTAGTTTTTTTAATACTCTAGAATTAAAATATCATCTGTTCAAAATATTCTTTTAGTTGTTGACAACTTTTTAATTATTGATAATGCACGTACATCCTATAGATACAGATGCTTAAACTTGAGATCTCTAAGAAGAGCAATACTCTTTTAACCATTGAGGTAATTTAATGGGTTCAAGAAAAGGATAGTTAGGTAAAGAAAGGGGAGTGGTTCCAGCATTGAAAAAGAAAATATAAGGGGAAACTTATTAGAGTGAAATGCCATTAAAACACATAAATGCAGGAGTAATTGAGACAGTTGAGAATATCATGAAAGGGTGAAGGGGGCAGATATTACGTCAGAAGATAAATACAAATTAAGTTCCTCAACAGTTGTCAATAACCATTTCTCATTTTTGCCTACATTTTCATCATTCACTAAATGCCACCTTTCTGGTGACATTGTCTATTTTGGTAACCCTTCCCTCTACTTCTTTGTCCATCTTCCTCTTCAGCTCATTCAATTTATTTTCTTTTCACTTCAGCTCATTCAATTTCTTTTCTTTTCACAACACTCTTAAAACTAGTACAATTAGCATAGGGAGTATCAAACTAGACATCATTTCATTATGAATTGAAATCCATTGAATGGATTTAGTGATAAAAAGGAGTATTATTCTTTTTAGAGAATATGAGTTTCAGCATATGAGTTTATAGGATATGTGTATTATCAATAGACTAAAAAAATTCTGAGCATATATTACCTTGTAATCACTTCAGACTATTCCAAAAAACAAAAAAAATTCACCCTGCATAGCGCAAACCTGTTTGCCTAACAAATTGTAAACAGTTTATCCAATGTTTTGATAGCTAAATAAGTAAAGACATTCAAGAAACAGAAAGCTTTCCATAATAGATTGCTAATGCATTGTAGTTATATTTTTCTCTTTTCAGCTAATGTAAGCATCTAATACCGATGGTAAGCATCTTATCAACTGATTTATTCGAAGTCAAATGATTATTTTATTATAACTCTGGACTTTGGGCTGCCAGTGTGATACTAAAATATTTGCAAGACAACTAAGAGAATGCGTTTGATCTTCAGATATGATTTTCACATTGTATATACTGTAAAAAGGTTGCTTTTTAATCACAAATATACTAGACTTTAAGATATGCGCGACAACTTTTGACTCTCAATGTTCCAAGGAGCCATGGACTGATTAAAAACATGCTGAGAAAACCCCCGACACTGGTTTGCAACTCAGTTCAGTAAACTCACTTAAATAAACTATGCTAGATAAGTAAGGAACCAACCATCTAGCCAGCTCCTAACTGTCCTTCTGCTGGGTACAATACTGAGTCATGTCCAACAGTGAAATTTCTATATGCATGCAAGTACTCTGTAGTACAGAATGCATAAAATATGGCAATTCTAAATAAAAAAACTTTCACAAATTTACAAGCATTTGTCACTAAAATTAGAAACATATTCGTTGTAACATACTTCGTGAAAGTCTAATTGAAGTGACAACATATTTTACAGAAAAAAAAAGAAACTGAAAATAGAACAAAATTTTAATAATTCTGAAGGGAAACCACTAATTATGAAACAATCATGTAAGAAGGTTCAATAATAAGCTTGAGAACTATAGTGCGTTGTATTATTGGCATGAGAAGCTGAGAAGCTTTACATGATTTCCACAACAAGAGAAGTCTTGATAGTTAGCAGATAAAATATGTACAATACTATTACTTACTAAAACTATATTATAGAAAAGAAAATGCAGGATATCATTTTGATTCTAGCAGTAAACAGTTCGCATATTTTGTGGAAGTTTACCTGTTAGATCTCCGAACTCTGAAGGCATAAAATACGCAGTCACAAAATTTACAAAGTTTCTCAGAGGTGATTTAGTTCTCCCCATCCACTACAGCTTCTGATATACTTGTCAACAATACCAAAATCTTTATTTTGTTCAACTCGTCTGGCATAGTTCTCGGTTGAAATAGGACCTTTCTTCAACCTCCTATAATAGATTATCTCCCAAGGCCACAAGCGAGCAGCACCAAAGTAAGCTTTTGCAGATAGATGCCTTTCATTTTCTTCTGGAGGTTCTAGACCAAAATGCTTCATGACAATACACAGTTCCTCTGGCGATATGCTTGTAGAACCCACAGAGGTAAGCTCCGAAACAGTCTCTACAGGTTGTACTACCACATCCTTTGTTGTCAGTGAACCAACATCTTGAGTGCCCTTTATCTCTCTTAAGTTCTCTGGAGATAAACTCTCATCAGCAAGTGAATTTTTCCCAGAAAGTGGTGTGCTTGGATTTTTAACTCGAGGTGCTGACCTGGGTGTCATATGATTATCATTATTTCCTCCCTGCATAGCTTGGTCCTTTTCCACTCCACTTTCTACTTTGGCAGGTGAAACGGCATTTTCAATACTCACTGGAGCCACTCTATTTTCAAAATTTGCATTCTCCAATTGAACGTCACCTCCAACCGTAATCTCCTTGGATTTAGGTATGTTAGCCGCATCCAAAGAGCCTTTCAAATTAAATTGCCCTTTGTCCGACGTTGATGCTAGAGGCCTGCCAAATGATACAGGCGAAGAGTAGGATGTTGGAGAGCTCAACCTTGAGCTAGATATAGAGCATCTGGACCTAGAATAATGTGATATTGAACTCAACCTTAGATTTTTAGATGATGAGCGTGCTCTGGATGATATGGATCTTGATCTAGACTGTGAAATTGACCTTCGCATATGCCTTATGGATTTAGATTTTGAGCGTGACCTGGATGAACTGTAATCAGGAAAAAGTGGAGAAGAAATTGGCCTTGCTTTCTTTGCATTATGTCTTAGAGGAGTTCTACCTCTCCTCCTACATCGCTTCTTTCCTTCATGGTCCTTCTCCCAAACCCTGACTGTTTCCTTTCCAATAAAGGAGCTTCCATTATCTATCAATCTCCCACTCTTTCTTGAACCAGATGCTTTTCTGGTATCCTCAAATCGCTTTGTTCTTCGGAGATCCTTGTCGTGCAGCAACTTTGCCCGAGACCTGGATCCGAAACTTGCTAGGGAACCTTTTCCTCCACCTCCTCTACCAATGTTATTGTCACGTCTGAGGTCAAACCTGGAGAAATATCTTCCTGAAGTAATTTCATGGGGGCAGTTATGCTTTTTGTGACCGAAGGCACCGCAGCTGTAACAAGCTTGCTGCACTTTTGAATCCTTAGGATGGTTCACAGTTTCTTCACCTATCAGCTCTGTCACTATTTTCTCTTGCGGGCTTTGTTCAGCAGGAGAACCACTGGAATACACAATTCGGTTTTTTTCAGCCTCAGCTTCCTTGTCATAACCTACATAGCGGTCAAATTCCATTTCATGCTCAATGTCATTGCCATTAGAATGATCATGGCGTTGCCCATCCCACCTATCATCCATCTGGTTAGGTTCATCCTGGCCAATTTTATTCAGCAAATCTTCCCTATGGTCATGATTTTCTTCCCATATAAATTGTTTAACATGGTCTTGATGGTAGTCTATATCCGCATTAAGCAAGTCAGCAGAACTAAGCATCATCCCATGACTCTCTGGTTGTTCAATACTCGGCTGAACATTTAAATCAAAATTTCTACTACCATAATATCCACCTCTAGTGGGACTCCTCATTCTATGTGGCTCACGATCATAGGTCCGATCAGCCCTGGAATTTTTTTTGAAAGGTCTAGGCTGTTTATTTGACCATGTGAGAGTTAATGGCTTACCACATATATTTCTTCCTTGAAGTGCTCTCAAAGCTTTTTTTGCATTTGGAGGGTAGTCATACACAACAAATCCATAGCCATCTTTCAGCTTCATATTGCATCTTCCAAACCTCTTGAAAACATGCTCAAGTTCATCCCTACGAGTGCGAGCAGATAGATGACCAATATACAAAGACATCTGCATCAGAATTATAAAGAGAGAGAGAGAGGGAGAAAAAGAAGAATAATTACTATGTTAAAATAAAGAAAATCAATTTAGACACACATCACAAGCTTAAATGATGCAGCATTCTGCACCGTACATTGGTTTTGGACAGTCACAGGAGTAAATGACAATCCAATGCTAAAGATGCACTACTTTTTTTTTTTTTTGATAATAAAAGACGCACTACTCAAATGAGTAGAAAGGAGATGTTTGCTATACTGCGTTAATGAATAAAGTGCTAAACACCATTCAAATACTTGCACGGCAAATAATGATAGTGATAAATGACATAGTTATCCAAAAACTCAACAACTACAAGCGCTCCTTAGTTAAGCATCATAAAACCAAAGCATAACAATTTCATTGATTGCTTAGAAGACCACAAAAACCTGTTCATTTGATCTACAGCACAAACTAGAGAAAAGGGAACCTTGAAAATGTAACACTCAAGTAGGAGAACATGCAAAATTCCATTGCATAAACCTGAAGAAGTATAGTTGAAAATGACAACTTATTCAAAATTGTAGTAGTCGTTACGTGTTTGATTGAATTTCTGAAAGGTGACCTTTTAGCAGCTACAATTACTAAGTTTTTGCTAGTTCTTCCTAGCCACACTAAGTATTTAACAGCAGGGAAGGACCTGAAAACAAGAATTTAATCACCCTAAAGATGAAAAGAAAAACACCCATAAAAATATAAACTGAAGTTACATTAACTTGAGCCAAGTGCATTTACACAGAAAATAAAAAAAATACAAAATATAAAAAAGAAGAAAAAGGTCTCTATTTCTTTATGCACTTCATCGAACATCTAACACGCAAAAACAATTGCATCAAAGAAACTATGAAAAATCCAAAAACAGTGAAGAAGAAGAAAACTTGAAAAAGAAATGCAATAATACCGGGAAACAGAATCGGAAAATAGCCGAGAAGCGGAGACAAATAGTATGTTTTGGGTAAAAATCCGTCTTTCCCTTCCTTTGTTGGAAGGCAGTGGCGTGAGTAATGAGTGTTGGCATTAAAGTCGACCAAATTAGCCCAATTAATTATTTAGCCCAATAAGGTATTAGATGTTTTATTTTAGGAACTATAATATTTGTTATAGTAATTTAGAAATTGTCATGTGGGTATAACATTTTCAATAAAATATATTCTTTTACTATAGACTTGTTACTTTGACGTGATAATTTTTATTTTAAAATTTGTCACTTCGACGTAATGAGTTAGGATAAAAAATTATTTAAATAAATTCATCATGTAGATATGATGAGTTTATCATATACTGTAATATTTATTGTAGATTTCGAATTAATTTTAGAAATGAATTAATGAGCAAGTTTTTTTCTCCATATGACTTATTGGCCCAATTTTACTATTAAAGTCTTTGAGTGGATTTTATGGTGAGGGATGAGTTAGTTATAAGTGAACTATTCTTATATTGTTTTTTAATTAATAATATTAGTTAATTTTATTGAATAAAAATACAATAATTTCAAATAATAAATTGATTATATTAATTGATATTTTTTAAATCTTAAAACTATATAACCGATTATTAAATAATAAAACAAAATTTCACAAAAAATAATAAATAAAAACTCGTTAAATAATTCAAAAGAATGATAGCTACAAATCAATTCAATTGTCAACAATAAATGATAAACAACATTAATATTAACATAAAATACATATAACAATAATAGAATGTCATCAAATTTGTTTTTATCACAATTCAATCATAATTTGTCTTTGATGATTTTAAATATCTATTAATATAAAAAAGGCATTTGATGATTCAAATCGAGGTAAATAATAAAATACAAATAAATGTAAAAATTTAATCTTGAAAATATATAAAATAAAAATATTACAAGAATAGAAAAATATAATATAAGAGTAGAGAAAAACATCCACAAATTTATAATAAAATGATAAGACTTATTAACTAAAATAACACAACCAGATTAGGGTATGTATTATTTTAGCGACGACATCAGCTTGGTGTTGATCGCTAACAGGTGATATTCATGGTTTTTCCTTTGTTTTATTATAATGAAATTTTATTTTTTATTTTAATAATTTCACCTTTATGACACGTATTTTTCTACCTTTATATCACATTTTCTCTACCTTTATGGCATATTTTCGGTTGTTTGGTTGTTATTTTTGTTTATTCTTTTTCAAAGTTGGATTTGACATTGTCACGACTGATCAAAATAGCGCTTTATTGGTTATCATGTTGATCTTCCCTGCTTTGGACTCTCGTATTAGATTTGGATACGTGATTTGTGTTCATGGATAGTATTTTTATGTCACTCAATTCTAATTTGCGATTTGTCAGTGGTCTTTCAATAGCTTCTTCCCTTTTTGTGGTTCGTTTGTTGATGCGGTTAGATCTGTTCATATCTACCTATCCGAGTTTATTTGGTTAGGTATGTAACACCCCCAACCCGTATCTGACCTGAATACGAATCTAAGGTGTCACTTGACTTTTTAAAGCTTGTGCATTTATAAAACCATCATAAATTTAAAACTTTCATTAACACAAAACTATATTTACATCAAAAGTTCAAAACATTACACTTCGATCAGAGCGCACATACTATATGACTCTATCTACATGACAACACATGTAAAATATAAACCAACATACTATGTAAGGTGCTTTTGATCTGATCTTCAAATGAGGATATGCTGCTTTGCTGCTCCTAAGACCGGTCTTCTTGCTTTTCTGTACCTACGTGTAAATCACATACACGCTAAGTCATAGACTTAGTGAGGCATAAATCTATAATAATGCTTTTCTTATGCATATGAATATGTGACGTGTTATTCATATAAAATCATCACTATCATTCACAATTTCATTTCATTCATATGACTCGCTATGAACAACATTAGTATGATAACCTATAATGCAATACCCACATTTTTCCATATTATTTATAGGCCCATGTATATACTGAGAACTTAAGGTATTCGAGTACATAGAAGTTGTGCACATCTCCTGTCACCGCAGCTCGTATAATTCCCACTGAGTGGCATATGAAATTGTCCCGAAGGACCTGCGAGTATGTTCCGAAGGACCTATGAGTTATCCCGAATGACCTATGAAACCCTCGACTCTTGGCATGCCAACTATACCTATAGCTCTCATATTACATCACATGGCCATTAATATTATATTTCATATAACTATGTACTTGTATCATTTCCCTTTTAATCACATATATCATTTGTTCTATCACATTTCCCATGTGCATATCACCATTAATCTCATATCATGTAACATAAGTATTTGAGTACATTCACATGAATCATGTATCGAATCATATGTCAACATATATGACTTATGCATATTTAATAAAGACTATAATGTATGCATGTTCATAACTACCATACTATGAAATTAATCTAAGAAATAGACTTATCACAAGTCTTAATTTCTTTAAACTACATCTCTAATATGAACTCACCTATATTCCTTTGTTTTTCCCCCGATCGATCTTACTAGGCAATTATTCCAGAACTTGTTTAGGCTCTGTATCTACATAAATAAAATTTTCAAGATGATTATCATATGCCTAAACCTTGCAACTTGCTTCTAATAACTTAAATAAATTTAAGGAATCAATATTCTATTTTTCCTTTAGGGGGTATCGATACCCTACTTAAAGTATCGGTACCCTCATGGCATTATGTGATTTTTCGTTCAAGGGGCATCGTTACCCAACTAGGGGAATCGGTACGCAATTGGGGGGTATCGATACCCTCAATACATTTTGTGATTCTTTCGTTTGAGAGGGTATTGGTACCTGTTGAATGGGTACCGATACCCCTAGCTCAGAAATGCCATTTTAAGCACGAAAAATCACTCTCTTTTCAGCTCAACTCTTCATATTTCACCTCATTTAATATCCCTAACTTGCATACATATACTTACACTCATTCATACTCAATAATCATTTCCTTAAACTCAAAATCCTATTCTTTATATGACATTCAAGAATCACACTTAATTTCCAACATGTTCTAATTCCCATTCTAACACTTCCTATTCTTTAATTCCATTAATGACAAGTCAAATTTAAGATTGGAATCTACTTAATACTTTCCTATCAAGATTTCACTTTTCCACTTCCTTTCTTTAATCCTTCCTATTCTCCTCATCTTGTTGTTTAAGAATAAATTAAGCTTTCCTTAAGCTTAATTATCACCTAATAATCAAAATAAAACTTGAATTTCATCTAATAATCAATTAACAATGAAACTTACCTTTACTTTGGGGTCCTCACGTTTGAAGAGAAGAAGAATATATCTTTAGAAGCTTAGATTTTTAGCTTCCTTGCCTTCCACGTGGGTTAATATAACTATAGCCCAAATTAAATTATTTCCTTAAAAAAAGATCATTTTGTTCTTCTTTACACTTCAATCCTACACAATATTTCTCATATAACTCATTAAACTATTCAATTATTCTACTTTAATCACCAAATTTTGAAACTTTATAATTTAATCATTAACCATGTATTGAGGATGTTACAAATCTCCCTCTCTTAAGAAAATTCGTCCTCGAATTTTCAATGGGAAAAAAGATGTGGGTATTGATTTCTCATATCCTCTTCACGTTCCCACGTTGCTTCTTCAACCTTGTGATTCCTCCACAAGACTTTAACCAATGGAATAGTCTTGTTCCTAAATTGCCTAACCTTATAAGCTAAAATTTGAACCGGTTCTTCCTTATAAATCAAATCCGGTTGCACCTCGATCTCTTCTGAGGTTACGATATGGGAGGGATCTGATCTATACTTCTGAAGCATTGAAACATGGAAAACATTATGAATCTTTTCCATTTCCGGTGGCAAGGCCAATTGGTATGCCACTGGTCCTACTCTTTTTACAATTTCATATGGTCCAATAAACTAAGGACTCAACTTTCCTTTCCGACCAAACCTTAGCACCTTCTTTCTTGGAGATACTTTTAAAAACACTTTATCACCAACTTGAAATTCAATTTCTTTCATTTTCAAATCTGTATATGTATTCTGTCTATCTGCGGCAGCTTTGAGATTATTCTGGATTACAATAACTTTTTCTTCCACCTCCTGAATTAATTCAGGACCAAGAACTTCTCGATCCTTAAGCTCATACCAGTTCAAAGGCGTACAACACTTCCTCCCGTTTAGACCTTCATAGGGAGCCATTTTGATACTCAACTGATAGCTATTGTTGTAAGCAAATTCAGCAAGTGGAAAATATTTTTCCCAAGATCCTTTAAATTCAATCACACAAGCTCTCAACATGTCCTCTAGGATTTGAATAGTTCGTTCAGATTGTCCATCGATCTGAGGATGAAATCTTGTGCTAAAATTCAATCGAGTTCCCAATTCTCCATGTAATAACTTCCAAAATCTTGAAGTAAATCTAGGATCTCGATCAGAAACAATGGAAACTGGTACACCATGCAACCTTATAATCTCTCTAATATACAACTTGACATACTTATCCATGGAGAAATCTGCTCGTACCGGAATAAAATGGGTTGACTTAATCAATCTATCTACAATCACCCAGATTCAATCTCTTTTGTTTGGAGTCATAGATAACCCCGTCATAAAGTCCATCGTTACATTATCTCATTTCTACTGAGGAATCAACATGGGTTGCAATAATCCTGACGGAACTTGATGTTTAGCTTTGACTTGTTGACAAATCAAACACTTGGATACGAATTCCGTAATATCTCTCTTCATTCCAGGCTACCAATATCGACTCTTAAGATCCATATACATTTTATTTCCTCCTGGGTGCATCATCAATAGACTACAATGAACTTCTATTAACAACTCATTTATCAAATCCTTATCATATGGAATTACTAGTCTCCCTCGATAGTATAAATTCCCATCAGCCTTAACCTCATAATCAATAAGTTCTCCATTCTTGACTTGCTGTAACCTCTTTGAACATTTTTCAT